GGGAGTGCCCCCAGCCCAGGCTGGCCCTCACCTGGTTTGCCGCCACAGGAAGGTCTGGATGGGCAAGGGGATGCCGCGGCCGCCGTCCTGCTCCTGGCCCTCAGAGCTCTTCCTCTTCACCATGATGGTGGCTCCTGGGAGTCTTACTGCAGGACCCAGCGTTGGCTCCTCAGCGGCTGCCTCCTCTTCCTCTTCCTCCTCCTCCTCCCGTGGTTCTCCCCAACTCTCATCCCCTCCTTCCCTGAGGCAGAGCCGGCTCTCCCAGCCCCATCCCGCGTCCTTCTACCCTCCGCCCCTCCCCTTGCGTGGAACGTGGCTGCGGGAGGCGGGGAGGGTGGAGGAGCAGGAGCAAGGAGGGGGGGGCGCCCTGAGGAGCTGTCCGCCTCTCCCCTTCCCGCCGCTCCCTGCTTTCAGCACCTCCCACTGTGGACAGCGGCCGTGCCCTCGGGCCCTGCGGCTGAGGAGAGCAGGGGGCTGGTTGAGCAGCAGTGGGGGGCGGGTGGCCAAAAGGATCTATGCACCACGTCGTGCCAGGTCCCCTACCCGGCCTCTTCAGCGCCCCAGGATTCGCTTCCTTCCCTTAGAGCTGCACCCCAGGCGTGTCCCCTGTCCTGCTTCTCAGCATCTGAAGAATTGTCAAGGTCTGGGGAGAAGGTGCTTTGGAGCACGCAGAGCAGTCACCGAGCCTGGCATCATTCGCACCTCCAGCAAGGAGGTCAGGAGTCTACCCGTGGGCTTAGCAGAAAGAATACATGAAAATTATTAGAAGTGCAACCCAGAAAGGGAGCAAGCTTGGCAAGATAGCAAGCTTGAAATTTCCCTGATGTGAGAATTCATTTTAAAATGGTAACCACAAAAAATTAACCTTGCTTGTTTAGCCAAAATGTCCCCAAACTAACCAGTTGTAGATATTAGTTAATTACAACTTGAGAAAGAACATTTGAATCATGCTGTTAGGAACTGTGGTTTATTCTAATCCATCAGTGCACTTGGGTGATCCTATTCATCCATGGATATCTGCCATTTCCCTTCAGTTATCACAGTCAAGTGCCTATGTAGTTCATAGGGGTGTTTCTGTTAGATATTTTATCTAGCAGTAAACAAGTAGGGGTGGGTAAAGTGAAGCGGTCTGAGTAGAAAACCCTTGCTGTGAATCCAACTACCTTCAAACAAACAAACAGAGTCATATACCTTTTTGAACAAAGATACTGCTGCAACCTATGAAATAAAGACTCGGACACTGGGGAAGCAAAATCTTCATTTCCATTTACGTGGGATTGATATGACAGAAATGTAGAGTTCACTTGAAATAGCCAAGAGTTTTAGATGGGAACACAAGCCTGGAGATTAGAAAAATATTCCATGAAAACCTGAATGTATTACAAAATCAATAACCAATGACAAAAAAATTGAGAAATAAAAAATGCTCAATCTTATCAATAATCTGGGAAAACCACAGAAGAAATGCAGTGATGATAACAACCATTTCAAGATCCTTAAAAGCAAGAACCTTGGGACCTGACTACCTGGTTCAAATACCAGCATGGCTGCTCACAAGACATGTAACATCGAAAATACCACTTATCTCAAATTAAAAAAACTGTGGCACATCTACACAATGGAATACTAGGCTGCTATAAAAAAAGAAGAAACTCTTACCATTTGCAACAGCATGGATGGACCCAGAGAGCATCATGCTAAGCGAAATAAGCCAGTTGGAGAAAGATAAATATCACATGATCTCACTCATTTGTGGAATATAATGAACAACATAAACTGATGAGGAAAAATAGAGCCCAAGGGGGGGAAAATATTTTAGAATATAATAGAAGTAATCCTGTTATTTGCAGATTATTAATGTTTCCTACAGCTTTTGTGATATCATACTATGTTAGTACAGTTTTGGTAATATTATTATACTTAAAATCCTTTTTTTCTTGAAATGTTAATGTTTATTGCATGCAATATTATTATATTTAAGATAGTTTTTCTTGAAAAAATAAACAAATAAAATGGTAATTACTTTAAAAAAAAAAAGAAAGAAAATACCACTTATCTCTAGGAGTCAGTATCTTCACCTAAGAAATGAGAAAAATAAGAGAAGATATTTTTGTAAGTTTGCTGTAAGTCTTAAATGGGTCAATATATTTTCTAGTTAAAACTGTTTCATAACAAATGATCAGTGCAAGTCTTAGAGGCATAAAACAACCATTTTATTGTGCTCATGACTTGTGAGTCAGGCACATGGTATGTCTCATCAGTGTAGTTCCCATTTAGAGTCTCATGCAGTTATCATTAGCTGTGAGTTGGGACTGTAGTTATTTGAAGACTTGAATGGTCTGCATGTCCCTGATGGTTCAATCATATGGATGACAGTAGATGTTGCCTGACAGCTGGGTGTTCAGCTCAGGCTGTCCACTGGAGCAATATACACGGCCTCTCCGGGCAGTCTCAGGGTGGTTACAGCTCACTTCACCCAGAGACAGATTCCTACAGAACGAGGTACAAGCTGCACAGCCTTTTCTCATCTAGCCTCAAAAGCTATGCAGCAAATTTCTGCTTCAGCCTATTGGTTATAAGTCATTAAGATTCTTCCAGAGTCAAGAGGAAGCAACGTAGATCTTACCTCTCAAGGGGAAGAGTGTCAATTTGCAGACATATTTTAAAATATCCATGAAATAGGTAAAACACTTGGAAGAGTGCCTGTTCTAGTCTGTCATTAGTACTATTCTTTTGACATGATGACTTAGCCTTTTAGCTTTTTAAATGAACTCTTCTGTAGCTCAGTCTTCCTCATCATTTTGTCTCAATTTTGTAATCCAGAATGCTTCATGGGGTGGCACTGAGGAAGATGGACAAACAAGGGTTCTGATAATTCTCATTTACATTTAGTTTTTTTTTCCTTTCCACTTGACATCTTGTTAGAACTTGTTAGTCAATAAATCCCTGAAGCACAGGGTGAAGTGACAGAGTTAGAGAGGTTGGCCTGGATGCTAGCTCCTGGCATCACTGGAGGGTTCATTTATTTGAAATCATAATACATGAATGGTCTGTCCCTTAATAGGTCAGATTTTTGTTTTGACTTTACTTTCAATGGCTTCCCCAGAGGAATTCATACAAGCTTTCTAATACCTACCAACTGGCTGACAGCTCTGTTTCAGGATTATAAGACCTTTTCTTCTAGAGAGTCAAGAAGACAAGAAGAAATATGTAGACTGTACTTCAGGTAGACCCCAATATCTTAAAGCCAATTTTTTGTTTGTCTTTTTCTTGCTTTCTAACCAATCACATGTTTTCTGCTTAAGGAGAGAGAAAGCTTCATGATGCTGGAAGCCATATTTGCTGAGTCACCCCGTATTGATTTCTTTAACATTG